TCTGGTTCGTCAAATCATCGGCCCACTGATTTTTCTCACGTGGGACCCAACTCAAGTCCAGCACCTGATTTCCCCGCCTCAATGTCTCCGAGAGTTCCATCAACAAGAGAGGCAGCGGGAAGCGCGTAGACATCAGCTTGGAAACCGCGTAAGAGTTCCCCTGGTTGTCCGTGCCCCCCGTGAGGTGGCCTTGGCCTTTCCCACGCTGCTTCATCCTCTCGCCCCAAAGCTTCACGCAGATGAGTGTCCCAAGAAGTTCAAGGCTCGCGATGGCGCGCTTCAAATCTTTCTTGATGAAGGCCCATGGGGCCCAGGATTCAAGGACCTCCAGCGCGTACCATTGCAGGGCCGAGTGGCCATCCCAAAGGTAGCCACCCACCCAAGCGCTCCCCTCCTCTGCTTTTGCATCCGAGAAGAAGCTCAACTCGCCCCTTGTAGGTCCCACCGGAATCTCCACGGGGGATTGAAGCCGATCCCCGGTACTGAACCGCTTCGACATCCATCCCAGGATGGACCTCAGCATCACAGCTGCGTAGCCGCCGACCAAGCGTAAAGAGGTCCCAGGAAAGGGCGTTCCCAGGATAAGGCATTTGCCCCAAATCCCAGTCGCCCCAATCCGCATGCAAAGTCATCCCACGTGACCTTCCCCTCCCGCAGTCCACTCGGCAAGCCAGGCCGCCCGCCTCTCCGTTAAAGGTCCCGTAGGCGGTCTCATAGCCCACCCACTGGACGTTCAGTCCCCCCTTTGTCTTTGACCACTTGAAGGGGAAGCCAAGGCACGCCAGGATCGCGTACGAGAGGACAATGCCCCTCCGGCCTCTCCGATCTCCCCCGATGATCTCCACATCATCGGCGTACAACAGAAGCTCGAGGGCCCTTCTTCCGGTCAAGTGATGGACCAGTCTGACAGACCCCCCCCCCCCCAGTAGCCCGCGCATGCTAAGCCGAAGGTGCCTACGCAATTGATATACACGAAGTCGTCCCGAGAGGATGCCTTGCAGCCCAAGTACCCCCACTCGTCCCGACGATGTCGGTACCTCCTGTGGAGATGTCCCCGGTGACCGCCATGGGCGCAAGACGTTCCTCCCGAAGGTGGCGGAGAAGATACTGTTTCTCTTGCGCTCCTGGCGATCGCACCTTGTCCAAGCAGCGTATTCTATGGTTTAGAAGAACGTCATGCGAGGCATCGTGCACCACCCGCTTCTTAACTGGCGGCCTCTCCTCGACTATCACCGCGATGGCTGAGACCGCCGCCTCGTCCCCGTACTTGGCCCAGAAGTCGGCCTCCTTCATCCTGATCATCAAGCCCTCCGCGACCTCGGTCTCGAAGTGCTCTCGCACGAAGTCAAGATTTTCCTCGGCCGACTCATAGTTCGCCTTACTGGTCGACGTCCAGTGGCCCCATTTCCAGCTTCCATTTAACCTGTGGCTCAAAGATGTCCCGGGATCGAGGCAGGGCATGTTTGACCCCAACCGGGAGCTCTCTCTTATGCGGGAGGGTCTG